TTTAACGTTAATGGGGATGTATGGATGCTATTATAAATTAACATTTCCCGGATTAGTAAATGAAGTTAAATAAAAATCCGTTATATATTATCGTTATAAACTATTAAAGAAATATTTTTTACGATTATAACCCATTTTCTAGTACAAGGTTGCGTTTCTGAAAATAATTGCATTGAGCACGCATCGGTGGGGGGGGGGACCAAAAAAAAAAACTTTTCCCCTTGCTATTAGCCTTGGCTTTGCTATCAAATTGGGGAAGGGGGGGCCCGGGCGCTTTTTTATTTTACTATCGGGGACTCTTTAAAACGGGGACGTTTCCTGATTTTAAAGCAGATAAAATGTGATTAATGATTACGGTTTTTAATTAAGAAAATTTTTTCTTCGTCTTCAAGGTAGGGAAAATTTTTTACGGTAGAAAGTCAGCGCACCCTTAAAAATAATTTCCCAGAAACAATTATGAACAAGTAGCCAACAACCGAAATAATTTTAGTATAAATATAAAGGGCATTATTCTCACTTGCTTACGTTTCACAAAGGCTTCGCCTTCTTTAGGGGGGGGTGAACCCGTTATTAGATCAGCCCCCTAACATGTGGAGTGGGAGAGGAGGTAGAGTGGGCGGATAATTTTCACTTAAATATAATCTTTCTAAACGGGAAATATCAAAATACTAACTGTTAAAAGCCCTCTTATGTGGCCCATTGTTTGTCTAATCATACCACAATTTATACATTACTAGATTTCATTTACTAGGAGTTCCCCGCTGGGTGAAAGGAAATACGGGGAGATAATGTCGGAGGGTATTTTCTATCGTACAAGTACTCTGGGACAACTATGAGGATTAAACCTTCCTATAAGGTTTTATCCCGATTGATAAAAACAAAAAAAAATTCTAAGAAATTTTATATATTAATGTAGGATTCCTCTTTACTGGAACCTTCAGGGGGGGGGGGGGGGACTATTTCGCTAACAAATCCCACGAACTAACTAAATATAAATCATGTTTGAAACAGTCCAGGCCCCATAGTGATCTCCGCCTTGCCTTTATTCGGATCTTATTTGCAACATGAAAACCAATACCGGGGGTCCAACTAGTGGAACCGGTGTAAGTTGGGGGGACCATAATACTATTTGGGATATGAGTTGTAATTGAGGGGGAGGTTATAACTGATGTTTTGCTATACATCTCCCATGACATCAATTCCACCCCATTTTTTCTCCCCGATTTCTGGATGTGATTTTCCAGTTTTCTACATTTTTCTCAGGTAAGGTCACATTATTAAAGTTTTGGAGGGCACACAGCTTTTGAAAGAAGGAAAAAGGTTACGCTGTTGGGGAACTTAAAAATTTGCTGGCATGTAATGATTTCCGGTTACCGGCAACCAAGAGATTATTGTCAGGGCTGAGAACCTATCACACGCTGACCTTCTCGTGAAAATCCCGGGAGCGGTTCGTTATCGAGGTCTGGTGTTTATGGGCTTTCCATCTGTCCTCCATAGTATCCATAAACCAGTCTTCCGGGGACAAGCAAAGTGTTAGGGTTTATATGCTCGACCTTTGGTTTTGTGATACTCCGCACAGGGACTGTTTTTTTATCGGGGTTCCGTTGTTGGGCTATTTAGCCACTAAGGTTACCATGGTAAACATCTAGTGGTGATTAGCCTATATAAATAACTAAGGAAGTTTCAAAAAAAACAGAAATCTAGGCTTCTATTACCAGTATCAAACTTAAGCATCCTTTTAAGTGGCTTGTTTGAGGGCTACGTCTTTAATTATCAACTTGGGAAAATTGACTGGCGAGATAATCAACCACTATTTTATTAAAAGCAACTTGTCGCCACTAAGCAGAACTGGAAAGAGGAAATATATAAACATTTCTTGTTAGTCAGTTTTGTTACAAGCAATTTACTCAAAAGGTCATAATGGGGGGAAAACTTTGCTAACTGCGGGGGGGGACCCTCTCTTCCTCCGGGGCCAAAATTAATAAATAACCCCCTTGGTCAACAAAGTCCCGCAGTTCAAGGGTTTTGGGTGGATATACAAAACGGTTGTAGTTAAAAGGCGCCTTAATGGGGGAACATAGTTCAAAGTGGTTAGAAAGGGCCAAACATCATTTTTTAGTTGGGGGGGACATCTTGAGGAAAATTTGAGGTTTGCTCCTTAACATTTTTTTTTTTTTCTTTAACCTATTACCTCATTTTCTTCAAGGGATTTTCCACTAACCGGGGCTTTTAAAATGTAACCTTTCGGGGATAAAATAAAATCATTATAAACACTCGTGAGCCCTCCTGCCTGATCCATTCACAACATAGGGACTCTCGGGGGAAAACGCTTTGTAAGAATAGGATGCGGTACCGGGATTCAGGACATACATTATAATTAATAACCATTTTTTGCTTTAATAAATTTTAAATGGATCAAGATAGCCTTAAAACTAACCGAGGATCCCCCGCCGGGGTTTCCTTAATGTTCGGACTGCTTAATAATTTCATGGGTTGTAATTACAAGGGGGCCTTGGTCCCTGCCGGATTGATTTCCAAAATGGTGTTTCCCCCAACATAATTGCTCCCACAGTTATTTGTTTTGCTGGGGGGGGCTGGGTTTGCCCATGGGTTGAGCTAAGGAGAAAACATAAGTATTTTTACGACAGTGTATTCTTGCAGGAGTCCAGAGGGAGAGATTATGGAACTTAGAAAAGAGGAAAAAGTTAACCCAAAAATAGTGACATAGGTAGGAGGAAAAAAGTTAACCGAATAGGTGGGGGGGACATGAGGGATAAGGAGGGTAAAGTAAATTACCAAAATAATTAAGCCCGGAGGAGTTATAAAAAACCATAATAATTTGTACCTGATGGATGGGTGTGCCGTTTTAAAATAGACGTTTTGGTATTAGGCTTATTAAGCGAACCATTTGATTAGATACAAAACTTTCTAGTATTTTTAAACTAACTTATAGGTATTATAGTTTTACTACAAAGGGGAGTTGTTTTCAGGACAGGGGGCCGTAGGGTAGGTTGCCCTTGTTATTTTAGGAAGGTATTTTAGTGTGCCTTCTGTTTCGGGGGTTTTCACGGCCCCCTGTTTCGGGGGGTATGTCAGGCCCCACTGGGTCGGGGGGTTGGGTTGTAAGAGGACTGGTTTGTGGAGGGATTGTAGCTTTGCTTACGTTTACCGGGGTTGTTAGTTACCAATTCTTAAATTGCGGAGGGGAGTATGCGGGACGGTAAGCTTTAACTCTATTAACTTCCGTTGGATTTGCGCAAATTTTTAAATAACCTTTTCTTCGGGTGTTCGTTAACTGTGGGTTTGTCTTTAAAGCAGAGGATATTTTTTTTGGGGGGGTGGAAGGAGTTTGTTGTACAATTCGCAAAAATTAATATTTTTAGGCTTCTGGCAATTATTTATTGTTTATTTTTTTTGTTTGAAAACCCCTTTACTTGTTCAGGACAAATCCCAAAATAAGTGTTTAAATAGAAGGAAAGGTACGGCTGGATTGGAAAGCGGGTCTCTACAAGGAAAACGTTATTGGGGGTTAGTTAAAAAGGAATGTCAGCGAACCGGCAAGGTTTCTCGGGAAAAACAAGTTCCTCCGGTGGGGGACCATCAACTAATAAATAAAAATTTAACAAGGTATGGGGGGGGACCAGCTTTTTTCCCTTTTTAATGATTCGGGATTGGAAGCCGTCGGAGATGAACAAACAACCCTTACGTTCCGGACAGGGGAACCAATTTCAGGAATACCACAGTGGTGGAAAGCACCTTGGTGTTTTGGGTTACCAGGCGTTTACCACGGCAGTGTGTGAAGGCCCTTTATTTACCAGGGGTTTTACCCAGCAGTGGTTGAGCACTTTTGTGTTGGGTTTACCCAGGGTGTTTTACCAAAGCAGTGGTGGAAGCAACTTTGTGTTTGGGTTAACCAGGGTTACCAGGTCGTGGTGTGCACTTTTGTGTCGGGTTACCAGGGTTTCCAGCCAGGTGTGAGCAACTTTTTACGTGTTCGAGGGTTTGCAGGGGTTAACCATGCAGTGGTGTGGCACTTTGTGTTTGGGGTTGGACCCGGGGTTTTCCAGCTGTTTGGTGAGTTAAAGCACTTTGTGTTCGGTTTTTGTACCCAGGGTTATAACCAGCAAGGGTGGGTGAGGGCACTTTTGAGTGGTCAGGGGTTTACCAGGTTACCAGGCCTGGTGGTGAGCCATCTTTTGTGTCGGTTAACCAGTGGGATTACCCCAGTAGTGCGTTGGAAGGCACTTTGTGTCGGTACCAGGGTTTACCAGCAGTGGGTGAGCACACTTTTGTCGGTTAACAGGGTTACCAGCAGTGGTGAGCACTTTGTGTCGGTTACCAGGGTTTACCAGCAGTGGTGAGCACTTTTGTGTCGGTTACCAGGGTTACCAGCAGTGGTGAGCACTTTGTGTCGGTTACCAGGGTTACCAGCAGTGGTGAGCACTTTGTGTCGGTTAGCAGGGTTACCAGCAGTGGTGAGCACTTTGTGTCGGTTAGCAGGGTTACCAGCAGTGGTGGAGCACTTTTGTGTGGTTACCAGGTTACAGCAGTAGGTGAGCACTTTGTGTGGTTACCAGGGTTACCAGCAGTGGTCGAGCACATTGTGTTGGTTACCAGGTTTACCAGCAGTGGTGAGCACTTTAGTGTCGGTTACCAGGGTTACCAGCAGTGGTGAGCACTTTGTGTCGGTTAGCAGGGTTACCAGCAGTGGTGAGCACTTTGTGTTGGTTACCAGGGTTACCAGCAGTGGTGAGCACTTTGTGTCGGTTAGAAGGGTTACCAGCAGTGGTGAGCACTTTGTGTTGGTTACCAGGGTTACCAGCAGTGGTGAGCACTTTGTGTCGGTTAGCAGGGTTACCAGCAGTGGTGAGCACTTATGTGTCGGTTAGCAGGGTTACCAGCAGTGGTGAGCACTTTGTGTCGGTTAGCAGGGTTACCAGCAGTGGTGAGCACTTTGTGTTGGTTACCAGGGTTACCAGCAGTGGTGAGCAAGTTCGGACAAGTTCTCGGACATCACTAAAACTACAGACGACAGCGCCTCTAATGTCGGATGAAGCGTCGGAGATAAACACCTACGTCCGACAGACATCAGACCACAGTGGTGAGCACTTTGTGTTGGTTACCAGGGTTACCAGCAGTGGTGAGCACTTTGTTACCAGGGTTACCAGCAGTGGTGAGCACTTTGTGTTGGTTACCAGGGTTACCAGCAGTGGTGAGCACTTTGTGTTGGTTACCAGGGTTACCAGCAGTGATGAGCACGTTTGTGTCGGTTACCAGGGTTACCAGCAGTGGTGAGCACTTTGTTACCAGGGTTACCAGCAGTGGTGAGCACTTTGTGTCGGTTACCAGGGTTACCAGCAGTGGTGAGCACTTTGTGTCGGTTAGCAGGGTTACCAGCAGTGGTGAGCACTTTGTGTTGGTTACCAGGGTTACCAGCAGTGGTGAGCACTTTGTGTCGGTTACCAGGGTTACCAGCAGTGGTGAGCACTTTGTGTCGGTTACCAGGGTTACCAGCAGTGGTGAGCACTTTGTGTTGATTACCAGGGTTACCAGCAGTGGTGAGCACTTTGTGTTGGTTACCAGGGTTACCAGCAGTGGTGAGCACTTTGTGTCGGTTACCAGGGTTTACCAGCAGTGGTGAGCACTTTGTGTTGGTTACCAGGGTTACCAGCAGTGGTGAGCACTTTGTGTCGGTTACCAGGGTTACCAGCAGTGGTGAGCACTTTGTGTTGGTTACCAGGGTTACCAGCAGTGGTGAGCACTTTGTGTTGGTTACCAGGGTTACCAGCAGTGGTGAGCACTTTGTGTCGGTTACCAGCAGAGGCATCCTTAGAATGCGGTGGTTCCGCATAACTTACATATTTAACCGCATAAATTTTGATATTTTGTTGCCTCTAAAAGTAAATGTTACCTCTGTCTACTCCAAAGCGTTATTATTCACATCAAATTACAATATATATCCAAACCTATAAATACTTATGTAAATGTTTGTTTACAGAAGCATATATTATATATATATTACATATCGCTGATATTTGTTATTATGTTTTCTATTATCCTGTTAATCTTCAGACGATTTGTTAGACGGAAAGGCGGACAGCTTCCGTCAGAAACTTGGAGATCCGTGAGTAAACGCTTTCTAGGCACTTCGTCACCTTTAAGCATTGCGAAGAACAGCAACACTTTTTGTTCGGTTTTAATAACTCACAGTAACTGTAGTTACTCGGCACGGCACGAATCCATATTTGTATATCAGCTAGAGAAACCAACTTGAAAAGTTGGTATAATATATATATATATATATATATATATATATATATATATAATAATATTATGATATGTTCTGATTATCATAAAATTAGAATTTAACGAGTGCACAGCATGTTCCTAATCGAAACTTACTATTTTAGAAGTCACGCAGAAAACATTTCCGTTTGCACTTTTCTTATTCTATGTTGATTACAGATAAAATTATAACTAAGCGTTAGAGTTGAGTCCTGCCCTGGGAACAACCACTGAATGAATTGAATCATTGTACCAATCCTCATATCATCAAGTTCAAAAGAAACATGCAAACTGATAGCTTCTGCTAACTGCTTCCTGGTGGTTAGATTCGGTGTTTCATTAGTTTTATTTGTTAGACCTCTAGTGGAAAATACTTTAGGTTTAGTAATTCAATGAATAATATTTAATGATTTTACAGTCAGGGACCAGGGTAGTTTGGCACATAAAACGCATAAAACATTGTGTACAAATTAATTCCATCTATTAAAATATCGTAAAAAGACAGCCTTTGTTTTGGCCGATAATATCGGAAATCAGCAGTTCACAAAACAAGTCAGAAAATTAGCAATGTTGAAGCCACAATTCACACTGTTTACATTCCTTGATTTCCTAGTGTTCTGCATCTCTCTAGGAAGCGAAAATTTTTATCGCTAATTTAAGGGTGATGTAATTAGACCCACGCTGCAAAACATAGCACAATGTTTCTGTTTCACGCCCTATTACTATTTTAGCCAAAGTTGCAAAATTTGCGGTGTGCACTTTTAAACACTGCTAAACACTGCAACTGGTCAGTGGGCAGCCACACTCCTGCTGCTTAGCTATTTTGATCACCAGAAAATAAACTTTCTCTTTCACTTTCCAGGTCCTCTCAAGAAGGGGTAGATAATGAACTCTGTTCCCACGAGGGAATGTTAAAGATGGTTCCTTAATGGACACAGGAGAGGAGTCGAACTCCAAGTTTCTAGATAGAGCTATGTTAGATACAGTAACCGAAGGGGCCACGGAGGGAATCACCGACATTGTGAGTTTACACTATAACTTTAAAATAATGGCCCAGTTGTGGTTAAGTTTTAATCGCGTTTTATGCAATTTCGATATTTAACAAGCATAATTAGATCGGATTATGCTGAACTATTTTATTATTTGTGACGGTGATAAATCATTAATTGTCCTTCAATCTTTTAATACAGTACTATGCATGTGAATTTCGTTAGATAAAACGTCTATTCTTTTGTCTTTGGTAGATTTGAGGATTCCCCAACTACAGTTGTTACCATGTTACCATGGTAACTGATGTGTTGTTAGGATTCCTTTACTTTTCTAGGTAGATAAAGTTCAGTGGGATGTTAAGGAGAAACTAACCAGGTCGAAATCTAAAAAGAAGCTAAAAGGTAAGCCATAGCTCTCTTCAGGGGTGTTTCTCTTGTTTTATCCATTAAAGTCGACTACGTGGAAACTCTGTAGCCTCCTCGAAATGTCTATACTTGAAAGGATCCCAGCCATGTCTTTACTTGAAATGAGCCCAGCTATACTATACTTGAAAGGAACCCAGCTATACTATTTGATAGTTCCCCCTCCCCAGGAACTCCCAGATCCGCAGTTTCCCCCAAGTCCTCCTCGGGAGGATTGTCCTGTCGTCCCCACACAGTCTCCCAGGTCCCCAGCAACTCACTCCGGAGACAGAGATCTAGAGTTGCTAGTGCCCCTCAACAGCGACCCACTTCCGCCGGACTTAAAGAGGTTTGATAATATACGGAGGGTCTTATCTGGTTATCTCGGGGCTGTTTTTTTACATATTTCCCTGTAATAAACTGATTAGCTAATCGTTATAGTAGTAGTAGTAATCGTTATAGTAGTAGTAGTAATCGTTATAGTAGTGGTAGTAATCGTTATAGTAGTGGTAGTAATCGTTATCGAGCGGCCTTTCCTCGGAAAATGCAGCCGATAGCCTCAAAACGTAATCTTAATAATTATTATCTATATTGAAGTTATTATTTATTATTATCGCTCGTCTTTATCGGTGGATTTTACACGGGGGTACCTTCATCATGCACTCAAAATTGTATACGGCTGGTTCAAACCAATTTCAACTCTACTAGAGTCACCTTTATCATTCTCGATGAATTAACACCTCACAGGGAACAACCGTTGCCATGGTAACCGAGCGATTGACTCTCAGCAAATCACTTTTATCTCGGGTAAATATTTTATTGAATATTTATAACTCAGTGTTCACTGTAGCATCATCTGCTTTTACCGCCTTTTCAATGTTTGTCTCGCTGTATTTATTTTCCAGGTATAATAGTATAATATATAGTAGTATATATAGTAGTATATATAGTAGTATATATTAGTAGTATTACTTTGCTTTCCGTCCAAATTGCTGCTTCTCTGAGGTAACGTCTATCTGTCTAACTATTTTGTTTGTCACATTGTGCCTGGCATCCCAGACAAACAACAACAATAAGAACCAAAACCACACACCAGACTCAGTGCTCACATTCCTGCACGTCTAGTATTACGTACAAACACGTGATATCCTTACAAGGTCATGTTACTGTGGTGAAACTTCCTAATATGGGGGTCACGTGGTTTCTGCTTTATACAACGTATGATCACTATTCTAACTAGACAAGCTTCAGTGGCTTTGCCAGACAGGAGCCATGCTACTAAAAACATGTGCTTTTTATCTTTTTCAATTACAATTGTCACTTTTGACTTTTCTACGGCCTGTTTCTTTTATACATTTTGTATAAGTTACTTATAGCTACTGTAGCTGTAATGTTTGATATTTGAAATTGGGCACAGAGCCAAAAACGACTTTGGCCTCTTTAAATTGACGAGCTTATTCTTTTGGAGACAACCTCCGTATCAGCTGGTTACCCAGACCGTGAGACACAGTTACCCATACTACACACTACACACTACACACTACACACTATCTACACAGTGTGTAGTACACAGCATGGCTGTTTGTAGTAGTTATACAGATTCCGGCCTCTGCTTTAATTTATTCAATACTAATCATCTGGTAATGAATAGGAATAAGTGGCGCGCACTTTCTATCTCTCAGGTGACTTGTTAGCTTTACTAGCGGGATTTATTTAAAGTAACAATGATTTTATATTATTTTATGCTTTCTTAATGTAACAGGATAGAAATTGTATCACTATTATGATTATATTAGAGTAGAATAAGTCACTAACCTGGTAACCACCCCTGGTAACCACCCCTGGTAACCACCCCTGGTAACCGCCCCTGGTAACCACCCCTGGTAACCACCCCTGGTAACCATCCCTGGTAACCACCCCCCCCCCCTGTAAACCACCCCTGGTAACCACCCCTGATAACCACCCCTGGTAACCACCCCTGGTAACCCCCCTTGTAAACCACCCCTGGTAACCACCCCTGATAACCACCCCTGGTAACCACCCCTGATAACCACCCTTGGTAACCACCCCTGGTAACCACCCCTGGTAACCACCCCTGGTAACCGCCCTGGTAACCGCCCCTGATAACCACCCCTGGTAACCACCCCTGGTAACCCCCCTCCCTGTAAACCACCCCTGGTAACCACCCCTGATAACCACCCCTGGTAACCACCCCTGATAACCACCCTTGGTAACCACCCCTGGTAACCACCCCTGGTAACCACCCCTGGTAACCGCCCTGGTAACCGCCCCTGGTAACCACCCCTGGTAACCACCCCTGGTAACCACCCCTGGTAACCACCCCTGGTAACCATCCCTGGTAACCACCCCTGGTAACCACCCCTGGTAACCACCCCTTTTGCAGCGGATGGAGAAGAGAGTGCACGTGACTAAGAGAGTTCAGAGCGCCCCGGAAGTGAGAGCTCTGACTCCACCCACTTTACACAGAACTAAACAGGGCTGCCCCCTTACTTTTAGTGACCTTCTCAGAGCCGAGGAGGTTAGAACTTTTGGGACTCTTTTTTTTTCTTTTTTTAACTTGATTTCACTTTGTACAACATTTGCTTGTTTATTCTAAAGGACAGCGGGTGGTACCCCTATATGCGTTCTCCGAGTTCAGTTGATCATTAGGTGCTCTGTCCGCTCATTAACAACCCCATCCAGCACTCTTTAACCAGCCCCCTCTCTCTCTCCAACACTCTTTAACCAGCCCCCTCTCTCTCTCCAACACTCTTTAACCACCACCCCCTCTCTCTCTAGCACTCTTTAACCACCCCCCTCTCTCCAACACTCTTTAACCACCCCTCTGTCTCTCTCTCCAGCACTCTTTAACCACCCCCTCTCTCTCTCTCTAGCACTCTTTAACCACTCCCTCTCTCTCTCCAACACTCTTTAACCACCCCCTCTCTCTCTAGCACTCTTTAACCACCCCCTCTCTCTCTCTCTAGCACTCTTTAACCACTCCCTCTCTCTCTCCAACACTCTTTAACCACCACCCCCTCTCTCTAGCACTCTTTAACCACCCCTCTCTCTCTCTAACACTCTTTAACCCCCCCCCCCTCTCTCTCTCCAACACTCTTTAACCACCCCTCTCTCTCCAGCACTCTTTAACCACCCCCTTCTCTCCAACACTCTCAACTTCCCCTCGCAGAAAGGCGGTTTCGAGTCTAAGTGGGTTCTGCAGTGGGTTCTCTCTCCAACACTCTTTAACCACCCCCTCTATCTCTCTCCAGCACTCTTTAACCACTCCCTCTCTCTCTCTCCAACACTCTTTAACCACCCCCTCTCTCTCTCCAACACTCTTTAACCACCCCCTCTCTCTCTCTCTCTAGCACTCTTTAACCACCCCTCTCTCTCTCCAACACTCTTTAACCACCACCCCCTCTCTCTCCAACACTCTTTAACCACCCCTCTCTCTCTCTCTCCAACACTCTTTAACCACCCCCTCTCTCTCTCCAACACTCTTTAACCACCACCCCCTCTCTCTCTCTCTAGCACTCTTTAACCACCCCCTCTCTCTCTCCAACACTCTTTAACCACCACCCCCTCTCTCTCCAACACTCTTTAACCACCACCCCCTCTCTCTCTCTCTAGCACTCTTTAACCACCCCTCTCTCTCTCTAGCACTCTTTAACCACCCCCTCTCTCTCCAACACTCTTTAACCACCACCCCCTCTCTCTCTCCAACACTCTTTAACCACCACCCCCTCTCTCTCTAGCACTCTTTAACCACCCCTCTCTCTCTCTCTCTCTCTCCAACACTCTTTAAGGGGGGGGGCCAATGGATATTTTTTTGTGAAACTTGATTTCGAGATAGTAGTTGACCAACAAACAAAGACCAGTGACCGAACTTTTGAGGGGGTCCCGGACCCCAACCGCCAAACGGTGCGCGCAGGGCAGCCACGCCCATATTTGGTCCAAATTAGGCCCAATTTAGCCAAATACCCTGAACATGCCAAAAACCAAGGTTTATGGTGCTCTACTTGTAGCTAGTGGTCTCCTGAACTCGTATATGAAATTTCATCAAGATTGGACGAAAAATGACTGAGTTATGAGCCAAAAACCATATGCCCATATTTGGGCATACGCACCAAATTTGGTAGATTTCGGCCCATAAATTGGCCAAATATCAATATTTTTGAATGAAACTTACTTTATATGAAAGGTAAGCCTAAACTACATATTATCTGTAAGTTATAGCTTTATATCTGTTTAAATGTGGATACTAAGGCGAAAAAACCACAAAAAATGAACTAAATTGCCCATATCTCGGTTCGCGATATTTGCGGAATTGATCTCATTAAAATTGTAACAACTCAATCAGTTTTCAAAATTTTTGCATGAAATTTTCGGAATCGACTCGAAATTGCATTTCCACCTTATTTTAAATACGGATTTTTGATTTAGGCCTCCAAAAAAATTTGGCGGCCAAATTCCAAAATTATCTCACAAAAATTCAGAATTTGGCCGCCAAATTTTTTTGGAGGCCTTAATCAAAAATCCGTATTTAAAATAAGGTGGAAATGCGATTTCGAGTCGATTCCGAAAATTTCATGCAAAAATTTTGAAAACTGATTGAGTTGTTACAATTTTAATGAGATCAATTCCGCAAATATCGCGAACCGAGATATGGGCAATTTAGTTCATTTTTTGTGGTTTTTTCGCCTTAGTATCCACATTTAAACAGATATAAAGCTACAACTTACAGATAATATGTAGTTTAGGCTTACCTTTCATATAAAGTAAGTTTCATTCAAAAATATTGATATTTGACCAATTTATGGGACGAAATCTACCAAATTTGGTGCGTATGCCCAAATATGGGCATATGGTTTTTGGCTCATAACTCAGTCATTTTTTGTCCAATCTTGATGAAATTTCATATACGAGTTCAGGAGACCACTAGCTACAAGTAGAGCACCATAAACCTTGGTTTTGGGCATGTTCAGGGTGTTTGGCTAAATTGGGCCTAATTTGGACCAAATATGGGCGTGGCTGCCATGCGCGCACCGTTTGGCGGTTGGGGTCCGGGACCCCCTCAAAAGTTCGGTCACTGGTCTTAGTTTGTTGGTCAATCGCTATCTCGAAATCAAGTTTCACAAAAAAATACCCATTGGCCCCCCCCCTTAACCACCACCCCCTCTCTCTAGCACTCTTTAACCACCCCCTCTCTCTCTCCAACACTCTTTAACCACCCCCCTCTCTCTAGCACTCTTTAACCACCCCCTCTCTCTCTCTCTCTCCAACACTCTTTAACCACCCCCTCTCTCTCTAGCACTCTTTAACCACCCCTCTCTCTCTCTCTCTCTCCAACACTCTTTAACCACCCCCCTCTCTCTAGCACTCTTTAACCACCCCTCTCTCTCTCTCCAACACTCTTTAACCACCCCCTCTCTCTCTAGCACTCTTTAACCACCCCTCTCTCTCTCTCTCCAACACTCTTTAACCACCCCCTCTCTCTAGCACTCTTTAACCACCCCTATCTCTCTCCAACACTCTTTAACCACCACCCCCTCTCTCTCTAGCACTCTTTAACCACCCCCTATCTCTCTCCAACACTCTTTAACCACCACCCCCTCTCTCTCTAGCACTCTTTAACCACCACCCCCTCTCTCTAGCACTCTTTAACCATCCCATCTCTCTCTCCAGCACTCTTTAACCACCCCTCTCTCTCTCCAACACTCTTTAACCACCACCCCCTCTCTCTCCAACACTCTTTAACCACCCCTCTCTCTCTCTCCAACACTCTTTAACCACCCCCTCTCTCTCTCCAACACTCTTTAACCACCACCCCCTCTCTCTCTCTCTAGCACTCTTTAACCACCCCCTCTCTCTCTCCAACACTCTTTAACCACCACCCCCTCTCTCTCCAACACTCTTTAACCACCACCCCCTCTCTCTCTCTCTAGCACTCTTTAACCACCCCCTCTCTCTCTCCAACACTCTTTAACCACCACCCCCTCTCTCTCTAGCACTCTTTAACCACCCCTCTCTCTCTCTCTCCAACACTCTTTAACCCCCCCCCCCCCTCCCCCCCCCCCTCTCTCTCTCCAACACTCTTTAGCCACCCCCTCTCTCTCTCTCTCTCCAGCACTCTTTAACCACCCCCTTCTCTCCAACACTCTCAACTTCCCCTCGCAGAAAGGCGGTTTCGAGTCTAAGTGGGTTCTGCAGTGTATTGAGTCGGACCTGTTTAACAAGACCTATAAACCCAAGAAGAGGATAACTTCAGCCCCTCCTAGATTTCACCACCCGCCCGGCAGTCTTAGACCAGCGTGAGTTAGTCTTAGTGATATAGTTCTTCAATCTGAATAGCTTGTAGTCTTAGACCAGCGTGAGTTAGTCTTAGTAATATAGTTCTTCAATCTGAATAGCTTGTTAATTTGAATGTAAACTATTTCTAGATATTCGTTAGTTCAAGAGTTCATTAAAAGACAGAAATAAGTGATTTTAGAAGAAGGTACGAGGGATGCTTTTTATCACACTGTACTTGGTATAATGTCCTCTCACTACTAGACTAGTGACTACTGACTACTGACTACTGACCTGCAGGTATATGGACAAGCCCCCCAACCCTGCAGTGGAACCAGCGTATGACGAGGAATGGCACGACAAAATAGTGGAACAACACGAGACACGCAGGTACGTGTTGTTACCATGTGTAACTATAACAGTTGTTATCATGTGTTGTTACCATGGTAACTGATGTGTTGTTATCATGTGTTGTTATCATGGTAACTGATGTGTTGTTATCATGTGTTGTTACCATGGTAACTACTACAGTTGTTATCATGTGTTGTTATCATGTGTTGTTATCTTGTGTAACTACTACAGTTGTTACCATGGTAACTACTACAGTTGTTACCATGGTAACTACTACAGTTGTTATCATGGTAACTACAACAGTTGTTACCATGTGTTGTTACCATGGTAACTACAACAGTTGTTATCATGTGTTGTTACCATGGTAACTACAACAGTTGTTATCATGTGTTGTTACCATGTGTAACTACTACAGTTGTTATCATGTGTTGTTACCATGGTAACTATAACAGTTGTTACCATGGTAACTGATGTGTTGTTTGTTGGACGTTATTCTCATTAAAACATTGTTTACACCGTCTAGTCTTAACCTAAAATTAGACATAACCCATCAATACTGAGAAATAATACAAAACATTACTTTCAATTCAATAGTATGTATACAATTCAAGTAATTTATCGTTATGATAAATTGTGGTTCAAGATTTGAAGAGCTCAGTAATCATTGATATATATAAAGATTGCTTTAATCAAAACACTCTACAAATACCGTTAAATACGTTGTAATCATTGCAATATATATATATTACTTTAATCAAAACACTCTACAAATACCGTTAAATACGTTGTTACGGAAGAATACCGACACTCACTGTCTACTGTCTACTGACTGTAGGGGAATGTAACAACTGAATGTAACAATATTTGATTGGTGATTGAAATATGAGTGTAGACAAGTTTTGCTAAGTTTTAGGGAATCCAGATGATATTTTGATGAGGTTCGTCATCCAGCACTTTGTCAAGCTCCAGCGTTTTACTTGTAGATCCTGAACTTTGTCAAACTCCAGCGTTTTACTTCTAGATCCTGAACTTTGCTCAGAGTTATCTGAAATGTGTGTAGCAGCCTATTTAAGGATGTTTTAATGTTATAATTGGTAGTTGGTGGTTTTTAGAACCACCACATCCGTCAGATCGGCCGCAACTAAAGTACTGGTGTTTTGAAGATTATGTAGTCATGTTACCATGGTTACCAGTTACATTGGAACTTTTTACATTTCACTAAAAGGAGCAGTTCCTTTTTGTCGTTTCTGCGTGACTTTCAGAAATATGTTGCAGATGTGATAAACGAGTAGATCCGAGTCCAGTTGTTAAACTTGTTAAAACGCTGTTGTGTCGACTAATTTATACCTTGTATAAATTGAATTCATTTGTTGTGCGTATTTGAGATTTCTTACCGTTTTCATCTCGTTTTCACACCCCTTGGTGTTAGTTATCCTGTTAAATAGATGGTTTAGCTGAATATTAACACTATCCCTCTAAAACCTTGATCACCAGCTGAAGTAACATTGTTTAAATATTCCGATACCTTGATCACCAGCTGAAGTAACATTGTTTAAATATTCCGATACCTTGATCACCAGCTGAAGTAACATTGTTTAAATATTCCGATACCTTGATCACCAGCTGAATTAACATTGTTTAAATATTTCGATAGTGTTTCTTCGGCTATCTGTTAACTTTAATCCAACTATCTGTAGCTATAACTTCTATATACACTTTAAAGCCAGTTTAGATGAAAATACGTTATCCCTAGAATTGTTTGTCCCTACCTCATATAGGTTGCACAGCAAAAGGTGTCACCAATATTAAACCCACTCCCTTTTTAGCATCGACAGTTACTAGATTTAGCCTCACAGTCATTCCATAGCAGCGCAGTGATTATTCTAAGATCTATTATCAAGTTTATGTTAACTGTTTACTGTTTACGGTTGGAACCGTTATGTTAACTGTTTAGTGTTTACTAAGGTAACCTAGGTAACTAAGGTTGGATGCGCTTTTAGTTGTTTTAAGTACACTTCCTGCCTCATGGAACCTGACACAAAGTCTTAACTACGAAGATATTGTAGTGTTGTGGCGTGTTGTTAATGTGTGACTTGTGTGTAGTTTGGTATCTCGTATCTCAAGTCTCCTTATCAGGTCTTTGTCGTTGATAATGCAGGCAGTCCCCTCCCAGAGGATTATTTCTTGATGGTCTTTTTGTATCCCAAACTTAGCATCTAAGGATAAGAATTGGGGGAATTCTATCAAAAGGAAGTAGTTAATGGTAGAATAATGATCAGCAAATAGGCTAGTAGCACTATCTTACTATTAAGCTATTACAATTAGAGGTAACTGGGCCATTTGCTTTAAAAACTCTTTTCATTTTCACACACCTAGTATAAGATTTTATATATCTAACGCTATCTTTTAAAATTCTAATTCGCCAGCTGAAGCAATATTGTTCAATAGTTTTTGTTGTTTTTATTTTTATTTTGTTGTAAAACTTAGAGCATTAGTCCCCTTTAACAACTCCTATCTCTTTACCTGTGCCGGATAGTTTTTATAACTTTCGACAGCCTTAAACGATAATTTTAACAATCATCAGCTATAGAGTTTTATCAAAAGGATGGCGATTAAGTTGATATTGACTAAGGATCAGATATCATTGTATTTAAGCGGTGCTCAATGAGCGAGACTAATCACACCTGGCCCCTGGACCTCTACAACAAGTTGATACCGTGGTGTCAGTACAACCTGGACCTCTACAACATTATCAAGTTATTACTGTTGATCCTTTGCCGCTCAGGAGGAACACACGGACGTTAAAAAGTCGTCCAAGACCCATCTGCCGCTTTACTTTTTGATTATCACTGATGTTTGCCTTACGAGAAAAGGCAGGTTTCAATAAATAATGGCAACTTATTATAACATATTAATAATATTTCTCTCAATGGTTAAGCTTTCAGACAATGTCATTGAACCAATCCCTCTAAACATTTAACATATTATTTACTTTCTAGATTACAGCTCTTGTTTAAGCTACATTGAACGTATTATTTACTTTCTAAATTACAGCTCTTGTTTAAGCTACATTTTTGTCTCTAAATAATATCTCTTTAAGAAGATATCGGACATGTTTAGAGTACCAGACATAGAAGAGAACTTCGTCCCTAACCCCTACAAGCTGAGTCTGAGTATTAGCAAGTGGGTTACAATACCAGCTGGTGCCCTCCTCTTTATCAGCAGCACTCTCACTGTCTACCTCATTATCAAGCACTTCAGACCCCTCCTGAAGCTCTATCTCTCTGTTCTAATGTACCTGTTCTCCCAATTACTACTCCTAACTGTTGTCATGTCCTTCTTCATCCTGGAACTAGTCTCACCCACAGATACACATGTTACCATGGTAACAGATACACATGATAGATGTCGAATAAAGCAGGGTCTGCAAACATTCGCTCTGCTTCTGCCGGGTTACTGTGTCCTGATCATCACCCTGGTGAGAAGCCTGTTTGTAACTTTCCCTCTCTCTTACTCTCACTTCATCAAGAAGAGGTACCAGCTGGCAGGGCTGGGAGTCTCTGTGCTGGTTTGTGGACTAGTATCAGCTGCACCTAGTCTAGGGCTCTGTAGTGTCACCGTCACTAAGGAGATTGTTGGTGGGGAGGGAAATACAGATGAGATTACAATTTGTGGTTTTGAGGACAAATCAGAGATGGCCTGCAAAGCTTTCTTTGGTATTCTTTTAGCTTTGGGTTTTATTTTGCCTGTTCTGTCTGTGATCATACTTTACTTCTACATTATCCGAGTAGTCATCAGGGCAAGGAAATCACACAGCATCTTGACCAAATCTGCCTCATCATCTAGTGAACATTTCAAATCAAAAGAAAGTATGGAGCAAAGGTCGGTACCCTGGTCGATAATAGCGATCCTAGTTGTTTGTCTCACCACCACGCTACCCTGGGCTGGGATGATCGTCTACACTGTGGAGATAACTGAAATGCTTGCGAATGGAGGACAGTTTTCCTATGTATTTGATGTTTTCTACTCAGTGCTACAGATCCTGATTGGATGCTCTCCCTTGGTATATCTTCTAACTACTAACTCTATGAGGGGGGAACTTCTCAGAATGTTTCAAGGTTCTTGCTCCAGACGGAATAACTCTTGAGCCTACGTGAGACTACGTGAGCCTACCTGAGACTACGCGAGCCTACTAGTATAATGATTAAGCAGAACTTTTATCTTTTAGTTTTGAAGTGTAGATACTACTATGGGTGACGTGAGACCAAACTGATGCCATTTTATGCCATTTTAAACCATAGCCTCACCCCCATCCAGCGGATGCTATTAAAGTATTACCAATTACTGCATGTTACCATGGTTACTATTTACAATAATTACCAATTATTGCAATCGATGTTTGTGGGATAGTGAGACATCTGGACTGGTGATCTACGTGTCGTCTTAGCCTTAGACTTTCTGTCGTACATTCTTAATCATATCGAGGAAGATAATGTAAAACTTTACTATTAAGACATTTAATTTAGATAGTTTTAACTAATCATTAGCGCATTAGTACAATTGAAAATGAACTCTTTGAAAAGAAGAAATCAGAATTCAGATTCGCGGTATAAAATTGAACATAGTTCACAATCTTATTATGTACAACTGATAGATTCGTTATTCGAAAGATTAAACGAATCAGGATGTGATTCTGTAAGTAATAAATATTGCTGAGGAGTAAACTATAGATACAATCATAATATTTTAAGGTAGAATTAATCAATCGATTACAATTAAATTTAAATACAAATGTTACATATTCACGAACTATGAAGTCAGAGCTGTAATATATGAGTAGCAAGTATCATGCAATAAACACTTCACAGATTTTCTGTCTCAGCTAATACTTGATCTGAAAGTTCCTGATCCTCTAGGACTCTTAAAGGTTCCATCTGTATGACATCCAGATCATTGTTCCCGCTCTGTATGTCTTCAGTCATCGTCGAAATGAATCTTGTAATCGAAGATACGACTGCGGAGGTACTGAGCCTGATAAG